TATTTATTTTTTAGTCCATTTAACTCTAAAGACTCTTCCTTTTACAGGGAACCCACAATATAACAAAATAAACAGTCCTATAAACTCTCTGGAACCCTACATAAGGGATCAGCTCATTTACTTAATTATCTGAGCAGAGACCGCCCTGTCTTCTACATGATGTGTGAAAGAAGAACCAGAAAGGGTTGAATTAGAGTCTCTAATTGAGCAATGCCCAATCTCCATGCCACCCTCACTTGGCCATCCCTGTACAAAAAGACAAGTGCTAAAAATTTCTTCCTACACTTACAAAGCACTCTTCAAGCAAGGATCTCAAAGCACACCACAATTAATAAAATCACCCATATCCTGTCTAGATGAGTAGCATGTTATATGCATAAATTCCTCTCTTCCCCCAGGCCCTACAGGAGTAAAATGTTTCTAATTTTAAAGAGTGAGCAATAGAGTAATTTAAAGGAGCTGTATCTTGGCGGATGCAAAGGACCTGAAAGGCATTAATAGTGACTATATGAGAAAACATGGTGACCACGAAGTGTATCATAATGGCTTGTCAGCCGTGTTGTGCTAAATGATTCAAAGATAGAAAAGACTGGGCAATTCTTTAGAGTCAGCTACCCTTGGGATCCATATTCTGATCTATTTGGTCAACTCTCCAAAGAATCTAGAAGCAGTAAAGTGAGGGCATTTGCTGATGATCCAGTTACTTGGGTTAATCAAGGCAAAGTGGACAGACGGGGCCAATTAAGTAACTGGGCAGCTCAATGATAGATGAGTCATTATGGGCAAGCGCAAAGGTAATGCCACTGGGAAAACAATTTAAGTCATTCATGCACTTCCGGGCCAGGAAATCCTTCTAGTCTTTGAGGGGGATCATTTAGGAATCATCAGACCAAGCCTGATGAAGTCATCTTTTCATTGTGCCGCTAACGATCAACAAAAGAACTAAACGTACAAGGAGATAGGACATATGGAATATATTTTGGGATATATGGCTGGGATGTAGATCTGTGACTTCATTTGAATCACCTTCTTTAAAACAAGTCTTACTCCAGCCCTCTTCTTCTTTTCCTTCTTCTTCCACAATCTCCCCCTACTCCTTATACTCCCCTAAATACTCAGTTTCGGTGTATAGATGAAATTTTCTTTTAAGTAAAAACAAATATTCTCCTCTTCATTTCTAGTTCTGGCCTTCAAAGAGGTGCTTTCTGTACATATACAAGTTTCCAAGGATCACTTCGGCATGTTACAAAGCAATTCATTTTTAAGCACCCAGGAGGTTTTTCTATGCAGCAACATTTATATAAATCTGGAATTTGGGGATTGAGGGCTTATCTTTTCCTTTTTGAAGGAGGTGGGCAGGAAAATAAAAGCATATATGCATTAAACTAAACCATATTTGCAGCTACCTATTTCTTGAAAACCAAAGTCCCAACCAGGGACCCTGAAGTAAAGGTTATCAATGACTGCCATGTTGATAAATTCAGTAAAACTATTTCATCTCCTGATTCGTCTTCTCCCTCACTAATTGCTCTGTCTCCCTTGTAAGTTCTTTCTCTTCCCAGCCACAAAATGTTGGATTCTTCTATCCCTGTCCTCTTTTTTTTTTTTTTTTTTAAGAAAATCTACCCATCACTCTAGCCTCATCTTGCCCCACATTTAACCACATCTTACCTGGTTCTCAACCACTCTTTTCTTCCACAAACCACTTGACCATTGCTCCTGTTTCCTATACCTGAAATGTTCCCCTCTGGTTTTTTGCCTCTTAACATCTGTCTACCCTTCCAATCTCAACTCACTAAACATGTATTGACTTCTAGTCATATAGTATTCTTCACAGCACTCATTAGAGTTGCAATTTTCCATCCATTTGTAGATGTCGTATCTGTCTGCCCACTAGACTAAATGCTCTTCCCTGTTTCTGTTTATCCTCCAGTTGCTACTGACTAACCTTGCACTGCCCACTTCTCTTTTTTATGATTTATCATCACGGCCACTGACCAGCGGCTTCCTGTGTCTTATAGATTGTGATTATAAGCTTTTCTCTCTATGTCTCTTAATTTCAGGTCTTAATGCCAATTGTTGGTTTTCTCTAAATTTTTCACATTCTCCCTCTACCAGCAAGAGGACCTTATTGGTTTAATTCATATTTATTATCTCTTTGGTAAAGTTCTCATGATAGACCAATTCATGGCTCTCTGGCCAACACCCAAGTGGACTGGCCTTCAATCAAGAATGTCGTGCATCCATTAGCTGTGGCCAGCATGGTAGAATTGAGACATCAGCTTTCCTGAAGGGAAATCCAGATGCTTTCTCCATCATAACCTGCTGGCAGAGTCAGAGAGGAGTCTTCCTTGAAAACCGGGCTTAAGTGAAGTATAGTAACAGAGAACAAGCAGAGGCAGCTGGATCATTCAACACCCCTCCTTCTTGGTTGGTGTTCTCCTCAACTAAATTTCTGTTCTTCTGCAAATATTATTAACACATTTAAGATGCCAGAGAAGTCGGGTAGATTTGGGCCTGGTAAGCAAAACTCTCAGGGAAGAGCTGAAGTGTTTTGGGAGTGATAGAGCCTACTGAAAAATGTCAGATGATTGGATAAAGAATGTGCCCTTTGGGGGCCTGTCTACTTCTGATTCACCCTTACTTTTCAGGAGTAGCCCATCAGGCCCAACTAAAGTGAAGGGAGTTCGCTAGTCTTCCCCTGGGGCAGGCCTCAGATTCTAGTCCTTGATATCCTACTCCTTTTCTCTACAACATGAGGCTGTTTAAAGACTGCTCAGTCCTCAACATCTGAACTGCTTCTACTAGAAAAACTTGGTATAACAATGATTCTAACAGCTGGAAGAGATACATTTTATTGAGCTTGTAGTAAAGAGTTGGCTATCATCCATTACCTGGATAAACATCATCCATTGCTACTCTTGGGCATAATGTAGAGGTTAACAGCACAGATTCTAGAACTCAATTACCTGGATTCAAATTCTGACTCTGCTACCTACCAACCATGTAAACGGGTGAGTCACTTGACTTCTTTTCATGTGTAACATGAGAATATAGCATCTAGTTCAATACAGTTGTTTTGAGGACTAAATAAATTATTGTCAAGTGCTTTATGTGATATTATGTGAGTTGCAAGTACTATTGTGGTTGATATTAGCATTGTCCTTTAGAGGTAACTACATCCAATAAAATGGCCACCTGTGTTACTCAGAATACATTTGGTTATAGGTTGTATAATGCAACTCAGAATAGCTTAAGAAAAAGAAACATACTGAGATAGTCCAAAAGACAGACTCACTTAGGCGTGGCTAGGCCTAAGGTTACGATGATGCCATCAGGACTCTTACTTGGCATCATCTCTTACTCTTACTCTTGTGCCTTGGCTTTCTGCATTAACATCATTCTCAAGCAGGTTTCCTCCATATGACGACAAACATGTAGCTTCGGATCACCTCACTTATATACTTCTTCAACAGATCGGAAAGACTCTGATAAGCCCAGGTTATAGTTCATCATTATTGAATCAATAATTACAGGGATGGATTATTCCAATTGGCTAGGCCTTGGTCATATGATAACCTTGTAGGAAAGAGGAAAGTCAGGTCCAACTCTGTCTGAACATCATGGCCCCCTGGAGGAAGGATGTTGAGCAGGAAATGTCCACTGTTCAACCCTCTGTCAAGACACAATCTGGGACCATTTCTCCAAGAAGGAACTGGAGAACTGTGATTGACATATTTACTGAGATGTTAACCATTTTCCATCTGCAGAGTTGCAGACACGCAGGAGTGATGTTCAGAATATTGAAACACCAGTAAAGCAAAGACTAATCAGTTTGAATAAAAACCCAACCAATCATAATGGAAGTCAGCTATAGCAGCTGTTCCTGCTCAACAGCCACTTTGCATTAGATGCAAATGTTGGACTGATTTCTAGGAGACTTAAACATCCAATTCTGTTAAATCTTCTGTATCAAGCACAAACACTCTGGATTTGGCTGGTTTGCTCACTTGCCTCACTGGAGATGGTAATGGAATAGACAGATGTCTTCAGAACTCTTTCCACTCTTTAATTCTCTTTGCCATCACATATGTGTAACCTACCCCCAGGACATACATGGAGGACAGAGGCTAATCTTTTGAGCTGAAGCACCAATAACCTGGAAAGGGACACATGTTACCTTCTTTGACCTTCTGTTTGGAGCCCATGCTGTCATTTTTAGAGCTTGGGGAAAACAGAGATCCCCTTCTTCCATTCACTCGATTCCTTTCCCTGTACCACTACCAAATTCCTCACAAAACAGTTCTGGTCTCAGCAGGACCTATCTTTGTCCAGGGATGTGTTTCCACTTCAAGCTCAGGTTAGGTGAAGTGCTCTTCGATTAGAGACTTGGATGAGAACCAACTTAAAGGGCCAGCTCAGCGTGGCTGAAAAGCTTCTACCAACAGCAGGTGTGCTGTGTGTCTGTGTCTGTGTGTCTGTGTGTCTGTGTCTGAGTGTGTGTCACTCCTTGTCGCATTCCCTTTCCGAGTTAATGTCTTTAAAGCACTTAGCACACCTCTGAAACACATAACACATTATATGTTAATTTTAAAAATAATAAAAATTAAAATTAAAAAAATGACAAATAAAATAAAGCACTTAGCACAGAGTCCATACACAGCAGGTACCTAGTAAATGATAGCTTGTCTCCTTCCTCCTCACTGGACATGCTCTCTGCCCACTCCACCCCATAGGCTAGCCTGCCTTTACTTGCTAGCAGAACCTAACAGCACCATATCCCACTGGATCCTGGCTTCCAGACTCAGAACAGCTCTCAGACATCAGTGCCCATACCTGCTCACCAAGAGGTATTTCCCCACCCTATTTTGACCCCCTCCCAGCTAATGATGCAGGCCTGCAGAAAGACATAGGAAATAGGAATACTTGCTAAGTCAGTTTGACCTTTGCTTCTCTCTTCCTGGTGGGAATTGATGGATTTCATGTCTGTCTCCTTTCAGGGTTGCAGAGAGTACGGCAACTTGCAAAAAACACAAGATACTTCAGACAGAGACTGAATGAAATGGGATTCATTATCTATGGCAATGAGGAGTCTCCCGTCATCCCTCTGCTCCTTTACATGCCTGCTAAAGTAGCGTGAGTATTCAGTGGGCTTTCAGAATAACCCCAAAGCCCCAGGGTGATCTAAGACAGTGCTTCTGACTCTACAAGTCTCTTTCAGCATAGGCAATGGTTATGTAGTTGGAATGGGGTGCCGAGTTCAGAATTCGCTTGCACAGTTTCTTGGAAGCCACCTGCCAGCCCATCAGCTGGGCCTTTTCACAGGTTCTCTAAGAAGAGAATCAAGTGTCCACCACTTTCAAGCCCTTTGAATTTGGGTGTCACCTTCTAGGCTTCAACTGTAAATTAAGGATGATCCTGTGCCTACTTCTGTCCCACAGCCTCTTTCAGGGAGAACTTCTGGAGACCATATCTCTCAACATTTGAAAACAAAATTACCAGACTCTGTGCTTTCTCCGCTGACCTTTCATGCCCATCCTCAGAAGAAAGCAGCTTTATTTCAAGTGTGGAGGAAACTGAGGCTGCAGACAATTAAATAGTTGCCCAAAGTCATACAAGTTGAGCAGTAATAAAATCAAGAGACTATCAAGAGGCAAACCCAAACTTAGGCTCACAATCTTAACAGTAAATTTTAATGCCTCTCCTATAAACCTATGTGGAGTTGTTTCCCATTGACTGCAATTCTGAAATTGAGCACGAGAACAACTACATAAAAAGAAAAGGTGACTTTTCCTCAATATGGCATAGACAGTTTGATACATGAGCCATTCTCCAACCTGCCACAGACTAACTACCTCTGTTATTAAAAGGAAGTTAATTAGAGTCCTTTCTAAATATAAAATGTTTATTTGGGTGTCTGACCATGTGCACAGTGGAAAGTAATAGTCAACATATATTTATAAGATTCTAGAAGTCTTAACTCTCCTGCAACATAACTCCATTGTTGGAAATTTCTGCTTGACTCTCAAAGAGTGAAAAGATTGGTAGAGTATTTCAAGTGTAGAGAAGGGATTCTGGGATTATCAGTTGAGAACTCATGGTGGATAGAACTGATTAATTCTTCAGAGTACATTCTTCTATCATTTCACCACAGCAAAATAACAAGCAGTTAAAACCACACAGGAGTTATTTTGCAGGCCATACCATTACCACCAGTGGGCCCTTTGTTCACAAAACTGGGTAAGGCTAACAGTGTATGGAGTGGTCAAGAGGGTACTGAGCTACAGAAACGTCCTACAGGATGCTGCTCGGTACTTAGGGCAGGGAGGGTTGGCAACAGGGATTCAAAGTAGCATATGATTCTAAACATCTGATTTGGGGAGGCAAAATGAAAACCTACGTTTGTTCAGAATGGTTAGCAAAATGGTATGTTTTGGAAGAAATATTCCACACGTAACCCATGTCTATCTCATATGTTATCATTAGCTCAAAGACATCAACGATAAATTTGTCTTATTATTGATCATCTAAAGTGCACAATGCTGGAGGGTGGTCGTGGGGAGTGTGCCGGATAGTTCTGACTTTGGTGGGGGAGGCTGGAACTAGAATATTAGTATGAATCCATGCCATGGGAAAAGTACCGAAGAGTTAAAACAAACGCATTTAAATTCAGGAATTTATCTTTGCAATAACAGAAAGAGAGAGGGAGTAATTCTGCTCCTTTAAATGCTGGGAGTCCTAACTGGACAACAGCTAATGTGAAAAAAATGAGATCAGAGGCTGTTATGTGTAAGAACTGTGCTCCTTGGTGTAGTGAGGAGTTCGGAATGAAGAAGAATTTGACTCTGTCTCTTGCTAGCTGGGAGATCTTTGACAAGTTACCCAACTTTCTAAAGCCTCAGTTTTCTCATTTTTATGACAGGATGTAATAAGACCTATTTCATAGTTGTTTCAGTTAAACAAGATGAGGTCTGTCCGCATACAGCCTGTTGTCCCATATAGGAACTACTAAGTGGGAGCTGTTATTATTAGTAGTTTTAATTGTTAATGTATATAAGACACTTAACATAGTACTTGGTATACTATCAATACTTCATCGGTGGTAGTTATTATTACTACTACTAGGACTTCTACTAGTACAATGATTATTATTATTAGTTTCAACTGAGTGTAAGATTGAGTCACCGTGGTTGCATGGCTCTCCAAAATAATTATTGCAATCTTTGGTTGCATTAATAAAAATAGAACTTTCAGGAAAATAGTAGGTGGAGATCCTGCTATTGTGTGAATCAAATATGCCATGTTAGAGCCTAGATGATATGTCAAGCCATCTAATGCCTTCCAATGAAGATGGTACTTAAGGAGGAGTGGATGTGGCTGAATGCTGATTCTATGCTAAGGAAGACTGTCCAATCCAGTGATCACCCACCAAAGGTGGATGCTTGGCCTTAATTTATAAACAAAGACACCAAGACCCACAAAACTGAAATTGCTTACTGAGGGTCACTCAGCTTACAGGCAGCAAAGCCCAGAATTCAGAGCCAGTTCTGCTTGCCTCCTAAACCTGAGTTCTTCTCAGTGCCTAGCACGACCTCTGAAGCTTTTGTCCACAGCGGGAGGGAAACACATCTCATTAAGGCAAACACACAGTATGAGTTTAACTCTCAATGTCATCTCTGATGAATCAAAAGGCCTCAAACCCAGCGAATGGGAAAAACAAAACAAAACACTCTAGTTGCTTGAGTTGTCTAAGGAAACTTAGAATAGTTCAGTGACCAAAGGTAATGTCTTCTCTTGTTGGCAGGAGTTGCTGCCGAAAGTTTCTTTGCCCCCTGGCCTTGTTTTCTTCTCAGATATACCTTCAACAGAAAGTTTATATGGAGAAAAGCTTTTGAGACAAGGAGTTAATTGTATAAGTCAGTGTATGAGCACTTCCTTCGTTTGCTTATTTTTGACCCTTTGATTTTATTGAAGCATTGTGATTTCTCCACATGTCCATCTACTGCAGAATGAAAATATCCTCTCCAGCAAGGTATCATTTTGAGCAAAGTTTCATTGCGACTCAACCACTGGAATCTTCTGCAACATTTGGTATCATGTGATTTCACCCATAAAACATTCATTTGAATAATCAAGAATATATTATATTTAGTCTCTGATACAGAGTTTACATTCTCCTTCCATGGGCTTCGTCATACACTTTCAGGATGATAGGATACACGGTACAATGATGATGCCCATAATGCATTGCTAACCACTTATTATTATTATCTATGTAGCCCAGCTTCTTTCAACTCACACTACAGGCTCTGATTTGTTTTGGGGAGTACAAACCCAGAGGCTCATTATATAAAATGTTCAGGGCAATCAGACACATCAACCGAAGGAGGCCAGGATTAGTAGTGTAAATTTTAAGGCTGAAAGTGCTCCAGGGAGGCCTCAGATTAGCCTAATGAATCAACAGTCCTATATTTTGCTCTACATTCTTTGGCAAAACTCACTTCCTCTGGTACAAAGAGAAACATGCAGACAGTGAAAATGGTCTTTGGGGAGTCCCGAAAATTAGCTTGAGATCATGGGTCAGGTGGTTTGTAGTCTAGCAATAAAAGCACTTGCCTTGTTTCTCAGATAATTATGAGCTCTCATCGTGTGCCCTTCCATGGGCAGCCTTCCATAGGGTGAACAAGAAAAAGCACAGCCTCTGTTTTTCTAACTTTCTCAGAAAGCTTCATCTTCTTGTTAATCTTCCCTGTTCCAAATCAAAGGTGACTCTTGCCTTAGCTGGGCCACAGGGCCAGAGACACTGTGTTCCCCAGACCTTGCAATCTCCACCACTCCATTGATAACATGCATTCTCCGTGAGGCAACCAAAAAGACACACAGCTCCATGGCAAGAGGAATGAATAAACGGAAAGGCTAGTTCTCCATGTCTGGCTCAAGAATTCTTCCTGAGTTACGACTGGAAGGTTTCTGTGGTGCTGCTGTCATCTTCCAGCCTTAAAAAGGACACCAGGAGCCTCTTAATGCTAAGAACAGATCTGAGGCATTTACCTTGCTTGTGGGCAGAGACATTTAGTAAGTAAGATTTCCTGCAGAAAGCAACAGAGCACAAAGTGGGGCAAGATTCACGTAGGGGCACATGCCTTTTTGTCTCACGTTGGCTCTTAGCACAAAAAATATAGACTTTTGAGAGTTTGATATTCCAGAACCATTACTGAGATTAGCTCTGGAAAAAAAAAAAAAAAAGTCTAGAAGAAGATAAAGGCAAGGAATCACTGCAGAGAAACATTACACCCTCTAATCTGTAACACCCTGTGTCAAAAAGCTTTATAGTTATGACCTACATTCTACAGGTTGCATCCACGGGCCAGCCTCTCTGTGTGTACACATTTCTTCCCTGAATTCCTCTTACCCTGTTCCCCCTTTAACTCAGTCAATGGGTTTATCATCCTTGAACATACAGGGGTGGATTTATTCACACAATAAAAAATGAGGAGACCCTTACTATTTTTCACCTCTGGTTTAATGGGGGAAAAATATGGCTCTGGAGTGATAATACAGCTCGGGATTATCTCCTTTCAGACCCTCAGATCCTGGTTCTCAAATTATAGTCACTAAGTATAGGCTTCTTGAAATTTTCATACTCTGTTATTGGTATTAGGTTTTTAAAACATACAAGTTTGCACTTACTATATGTTCTTTCTTTATGCAATTGCATTTTGTTAGCTTTTGGGCTTTTGTTCCTAGGAACCCTGCAGACAAAGAATTTGTATATCAATGCTGACTCCTTAAACCAGGGTCCTGTACATCAGCATTTTCTGCTCAGTGTCAAAGACTCAGTACTCACAATGCTCTAATGGGTGTGCCAGGCCCTATCATATGCACCCTCAGCTATGGGTGCCATCGAGACACTGTCCCCATTTCCTTGTCAATTATACGTAACAGAAGTTTAGTAATTTCAATCATCTCTATTTGTTGTTATCAGAAAAGTCGATTAACCACACTCTTTTTCCTGCCACATAATTTTGTCATCTCTCAGCTAACCTTCTCTCTTTTACCTTTCCCGTAGGGCTTTTGCAAGGCATCTATTAAATAGAAAAATCGGGGTGGTGGTCGTTGGATTTCCAGCTACTCCCCTCGCAGAAGCTCGGGCTCGGTTTTGTGTTTCAGCAGCACATACCCGGGAGATGCTAGACACAGTGAGTACCCACAGGCCAACAGAACCTCTGGTACTGGCACTTTGCATTGTGAGCAGGTTCTTTTACTGAGCTAGCTTGGGGCTCCCTGGGTTTCTCTTGGTGGTTTAGAAAACAACACTCATAAAACTCACTGCAGAAAGACAAGGGATTGCCAACAATGCCCAACAATGTGATCAACTCAGTGGATAGGAAAGAAAAATGAGTTTAGTGGAGACTTGACTCAAGGCAGTGTTTTGGTTTCATAAAAATGACTGACTGAGTAGCCACATGTTGTGCTATTTACTTGATCTTAAATGCAATAGCTAATCTGATGTGCTATTTCAGCCGCAATCACTCACAAACTGACACTTTTAGAGCCACCAAGCCCATCATATGAAAATACGACCCAACTAACCAACATGTCGGCAAAGACAGGTCCATCATATCATCCAGACCTACACTGGGTTTTAATGATTTCAAAACCACATTTCACTGTCCTTTGGTTTTGATCTTTATGAAAATGAGTGAGAGAAGACAACTAAACCATCTCAATTGGTTTGGAGTCAATGGAACTGTCTCCTAGTGTCAAGCAATTTAGCAAACATATTGAGTGTCTACTATTGTGCAAAACCCTGGGGCAAAAACTCTAAGAGCAGATACTAATAAATAAGCGACTAGTGATAACAGATAGAATAAATTCATTTTGGAAAAGAAATATAGACAACTGTGGAACATGAAGGTGGGAATTATATATGGGATTATATGAAGTCATTCATTATATATGACTGAGTTATTCTACATGAAGATGGAATGAATTATGTGTATATGTGTAATATACATGCACATATAACATGTATTATGGATTGTTGTATGTGTGTGTATATGTAGTATGTATGTATATATACATACACTAAGAGGTAGTTCTACAAAGAATAAAAAAGTGAATACTTTGAGTTCAAATAATAAATTATATACACAGTGTATTTTCTTTCTGCTTCACCATTACATTCTTAGGACTTAAACCAGTGTCCACTACAAAGTGCATACATTATAACAACTTCTTGCATGACATACTAATAACTGTGTTAACTCTAGGTTTTGAGATGATGGGTGAACTTTGTTGCATTGTTCCTTATAGCTTTCTTTTTTTTTTTTTAAGATTTTTTTATTTATTTATCTGACAGACAGAGATCACAAGTAGGCAGAGAGGCAGGCAGAGAGAGAGGTGGAGGCAGGCTCCCTGCGGAGCAGAGAGCCCGACACGGGGCTCGATCCCAGGACCCTGGGATCATGACCTGAGCCAAAGGCAGAGGCTTAACCCACTGAGCCACCCAGGCGCCCCACCTTATAGCTTTCTATGTTGTCTAGGTTCTCCAATATGTGTATATATTTCTAGTAATTAATTTTAACAAGTTGTTTCTTTTAAAAAGAAATAGTAGACAGATATTTCAAGAAGCTTGACTGCAAAAGAAAGAAAAATAGGTTTATAAAAGCCCTTGAAAGACTTGGGCATATTTACACATGAAGAGAGGAAAAAAGTAATGAAAGAGAGGCAGTAGGCATAGGAGAGGAAAGGACATGACCGGGGAGCATGCTCCCAGAGATGACAAGAGGGGGTAGACAGCAGTGGGGAGTTTATATTTTTTGTGACCCCAACAGCATTGAGGTATTCATGGATACGCAGTTCTGGAAATATCAGACCTCAAGATTCTCTTCAAACGTTCTTAATCCTGTTGAATAGTTGGCTTGGAAGGAGCACGGAGACATCATGTAGACAGATGCCTCAGAACTTTTGAAATCAGGCACCTATATCAATAAAAAATTGTGAGCATATTTCTTAATATGCACATATGGGTAAGTGAAAAATGACCCTTGAATAACCAAGACATTGATGTAGCTAACTGAACATAACACTCACAGAAAATACATATACTAGACAAGTTCCTTCTATAACCATGTTTGGACCAAGATAGAGATGAGGCCACTCTACATACACAAAATGGCTTAGAATTTCCTTCTTCTAACATGAGTTATGGCTGCTCCTTTACAAATGACCTCATCTTAGTCATCCCACCTGCCCCATAAGAATTCTGCATAGAACCAATCTCTGAACTTCACCCATTCAGAACAACATCAACCCCGACTGATCCCTGCATCCTTAGAGTCATCTCGAGCACAAGTTCAAATGTGGGAAGAAGCCCTTCCCAGCTCCCTCTTACTAAGATGCTTCTTCTGTAATTCATGCCTGCCTTTTTTGAGTACAGGTGTCCTCTGGGTCATCTGATAGTGGGCTTCAACATAAATCCACTTATAAGTTGTATAAGCACTGTCAAGATATTGTGTACATTTTATAGCAGATACCAAAATGGAAGTTAAAAAGACAGATTAAAACGACTAGAAATCCTATGTTCTCCCACACCTTCCATGAGTTGTCTCTCATCTCCTCCAAGCGTGCAGATGCCCCACTCTGAGCTACTCTATCCCCACCTTCAGCCAAGAAAAATAGACACTATCCTAGTTTGATGTCATTTCAAATATAACTTTTGTTACTTTGTCTTAGTGCTTAGATTTGATGTAAAAAATTAGGAAGTACATTGAAGTACAAAAACATTTTAACCACCTATAATGCTACCACCCAGAAAGAAAAGACTCTTCATATGTTGGTGGATATCAAACTTGATACATTTGAAAGACTTCCCAAAGAGGAAAGCCCATAAGTCCCACTAGTCATTCATTCCAGAATTAACAAACATCTGCACCTTTTTCAAAACATTAGGTCCTAATGTTGTCCTCCTCATCTGACAGGTCAAGATGGCCTAACAAGTTTTTAAAAGGCATGCCTAATACCATAAGATCAGTGATATACTAGATGGGAAAATAACATTTGTCTATTCTCCATCTCAGTTGTTGCTTTGGAAAATTGGGGATACATTTATCTGCCTGAATGCAGAGAACTGAAACAGATGAGTTCTCGGTCCTTTGTGGTTTTAAGTCCTACAATTCTATGGAACATAGAGATGAGTTTAAGTTTAAGTTTAAGTGCTGGGGGGTGGGGCAGTATCAGAGGGAGAAGAGGACACTAACCAGCTCCTGCAATGTTCCATTTTGCCCCTGACCAGATTGATTTGCTGTGTCATGAGGACATAAACCCAAATATAATCTGCAACCTTACCTCTTTCTTCCACAAGTTTAAATATAAGTCATTAAGAATACCTGGGTGGCTCAGTTGTTAAGCGTCTGCCTTGGGCTCAGGTCATGATCCCAGGGTCCTGGGATTGAGCCCCACATCAGGATCCCTGCTCTGCAGGAAACCCGTTTCTCTCCCACTCCCCCTGCTTGGGTTCCCTCTCTCATTGTCTCTCTCTCTCTCTATCAAATAAATAAAGAAAATCTTTTAAAACATATATGTAAGTCATTAAACTTTAAAATAAAGCCTGAAAGGGTAAGCATGGGTCCAATGCTTTTATTCCTCTCCTCACACCCCAAAAATAAGTTAAATATTTGTAATGTGGGGTAGACTATTAAAGGATATGAAATAAAATGAATTAACATATAACATTCCTCGAGGGCTGGTTTATAAGCCACACCTTAGTGATTTGGATCTTCTCCTTTTCTTTAAAATCAAGGAAGTTGGCAATAGAAGATTATATCTCCGAGGGGCGTAGGGGGTTTAAAGAATAACTGATGGAAGGCAATTTTTTTGCAGGTTTTGGAAAACCTGGATGAAATGGGTGATCTCCTACAACTGAAGTATTCTCGGCACAGGAAGTCAGCGCGCCCCGAACTCTACGACGAGACAAGCTTTGAACTGGATGATTAAGTCTCCTGGTCCTGAATTGCACCTAAAGACTTTGCCAGAAAACCCCCCCTTTTTGCCTCAAAAGGAATATAAATGGATTTCTCCCCTTTTTCTAAGGACAATTTTGGTTTCCAAACCAGCTTAATTGAACTGAAGGAAATGTTGTGTTTTTAATGTCTCCAGCTTGTGATGGCAGAGACAAAAATATGGTTCCAGATTTTAAAAATTTTCTCCTTTCCCAGTATCCTGCTATAGTACATCACACACACACACACACACACACACACACACACACACACACACACACTTCCTAGAACATTTTTAATGGCAATGAGCCTGTGTTTTCACTGCTACTGTGCAGACTCTCTGGTCCAGACTCTTTCAGGCATTCCAACCAAATCAGAGGGTTTTGATTTTTAATTCAGTAGATCTCATTATGGGTGTATTTATTTCATCTGCAGACGTGAGCAAGCGTGGTGGACAGTAGCTGACCTCCTTGTTTCACCCATGAATGCCCCCGCTAGAACTCTTCCGTATCGTGGGGAGCCCCAGGCAGGAGAGTAAAGAAATGTTGCTTCTACCATTTGCCACATTTGGACTTTTTCCAGGACGAGTGTCAAAAGCCATAGTTAATGTTTGGTGGGAGAGAGCAGGACTGGCCAGCAGTGACTCCAGACGTCTTTGAAGGAAACTTTCCTTTCCCTCTTGCTGGTCTCCTACAGTTTTACAGCTGAGCTTTTGAGGTTTGGAAAACTCAAGACTTTTGTTTCATAAGGAAGGGGGAAGAAAGCAAACACAAGCCAATTGTAGGCTTAGATTCAAACTGTAATGTTATGACAACTGGAAGGTTGTTGGTGCCATGTGAGTGAATGTTTAGCTTGCATACATAACCCTTATTACGTTAAAGAATGAGTTGTCATTTTCCTATTAAATTTTGAGTAAATGGTGAGATGTAGTTTCCTTTAGAGTTGACTCGCAAGACTATACTTGAATGTATTGATCCAAAAATGACATTAAAAGCAAATTCTATTCAACTTTTTCAAGACTGACACCCCCATTCAGTCCTATTAAATAGTCCTTACTGTCTGCTGGCACACGCAATCCAATTTTGGTATAAAATGGGTTCACACACTATTGAGCAAAGAACTGTAATTTCCTTGAGTTCTCTCTGTCTCTCTCTCTCTTCCTCTGTCTGTCTCTCTTTCTAAATGTGAACACGAATTTATCTGGAATAGTACCTTTTTGCTAATTGGTTCTCGTTGGTATGGAAAAAGCCAGTGGAAAACCTTATCTTTAACAAGCTCCCATATGGTTCCCAGATTTGGAAACTCAAAAGAGCAGTGGTGACCTTTTAGCAAAGCTTCTATACTAGTTCGAATGAGTTACAGAACATTCCACTCCATCAAATGACAGTATAAACAAATCACTTCAAGAGAGGCTTGACTTGTGACACAGATGGACCCAAGCTTTCATGCTGTACCCTGAGACAGAAGCCCAGCCAGGCACACTGGTGTTGGAGAGAGCAACACGCCTGATGCTCACAACTGATTAAAGGATAAAGATGAACAGTGTGGAAAGCTGTTTATGGGGAGAGTATAACCCCTATTAGGTATATCAGTTTAAAAGTAGATCACAACAATAAGGTTTCTTACACACATTTGTAAGGATCATTATCAATGGAAGAGGAGAGGAAGTGAGTTCTCACAATGCAGTTTCCCCCTCCAGTGACTAATTCTGGTAACTAAATTCTAATTCTTCCCAATGCATCGGTGCACCAGTAACTATGCAAAGAAAATACATGTGGTATCCATGTCCCCAAAAAGGTCTTTTCTCTTGAAAATGTGCATTTAAATGAAATTGATTCTAGTTAGTTGTCCAAAAATGCATAAATGTCTTCAGTCCTATAAAAGGAACAGTAGACAAAGAGGACCTTACTGAGGTATAGCAAGCAATAAACCTCCCCTTCCGTTCTAGATGTCCATGATCTTCATATACACCTTCACAACTACCCTTTGAATTTTAAGCATTTAGAGGGGTGTCTTTGTGAGCTGCTATATTCGTCCATCTTTATGACTTTTATGGGGGATCCCGAGTCTAACTCATGATAGGAAAATATTTATTTATCCACCTGGCCTGAAGAACAAGGCGGGGGGGGGGCATTACTATTGCTTCATCAAGATCCCAGAGTCTTAGGACAATTTATTACATTCTCATGTGCAAGATTTAAAGAAAAAAATGAAAAACTATCTCTGTCAGAGGGAATCACTTAGGAGAACAACTATAAACCAAATGCAATGCTTCCTGAGACCATTAGGAGAGACCCAGATCTCATAGGGCTGGTAATAGAAGAGTATATGTCATATATAGAATGAGGTTGTTTAAGAGGGTGATCATGAGAATTTTTACTTTTTATAAGAAAACACCTACTGCTAGGTTATAAAACCACAATTTTAAATCAATAGGGATTATTGAGTCTCAATAAATATACCACAGTTCAAAATGTCCCTTCGGTGAGTTCTGTTAAGAGAATTTCCTAAGAAAACTCTGTTATGTTCCCCAACCCTCCACTCATTCACGCACAAGCACATATGCACACGCATGCACACACACATATACACACTTTACCCTTCCTTTAAGAGCAAGCAAGAAGGTAAAGATACACAGGTGAGACTCTGGCTGGTTGATAGATAGATGGGAGATGTTTTAAAAGTGGCCTTCAGTGAAACAGAAGATAAAAGATTCAGACTAATATTTGTAGGGAGGATATATTTGCTTAACAGGGAAATGGTGAGATATGTCCCTAATCCCATTATGAATTGTGTTATCGTGGATGTTCGATTATATTGCCTTTTAGCTGTTTTGTTTTGACAGACACCATAGGCTTGAGAATTTGCTAGAAGCTTATCAAAATGCAGGTCCCTGGGACTGCAACCAGACTTCCACTGAGTAAGAATAGCTGTGGTGCCTAGAAATTTACGTTTAGACAGCCTCCTCGGGTGCTTCTAATCCATGTCCTAATATGAGAACCATTGTTGGAGCTTTTGTTTGCATAGATCAATCGTCTCTAGCAATATAACAGAAATTTTGTCCTCATTCTCTGTTGATAATCAAGGGTGCTTATACTACTGAAGTAAAGTAAATTATTCCAACCTTTTCTCCTCAGTGAGATATTTTCTTCCCATTTTCCAGGTACCTTCTCTTTTTACAAAATTGAATATTAAGAATAATCTGCCTCTGATTATTTACTTATTCCAAAAACAGCTCTCAAATCGGGTGAAAGTCTTAACAGTTCTTCACACATGCAGTGCTCCTCTGTATTTTCTACAGAGATAGCAAATACTACAAATGGCTTACTCTGACTTAAAATTTTTGATGAGGAAACCTTAATTTCCTGTATTTGGATTTATGGCAATAATAACAATTATACTTTGAACTTCTCTGGTGATTTCATGGCCATTTTTCCTGGTCTCCATATAAACAACATATTTGAAGTCTGTTTTCTCAGAACACTTTATGCAGCTGTGTAATATTTGGAAATTAAAAGGCGACTGTATTTTAAAATGTATCTAAGCAATTATTATGGGACATTGTCTTACAGTATTGTGTGTGAGTGTGTGTGTGTTTGTCTGTTTCACTGAAACATTTGCGGTGACCAATTTCATTTCATTTTGCCTGTGAAATGTTATTTTTTTAATAGATAAATCACCAAAATAGACAATATAAAAAATAATTGAAGGTTCTGTGTTAGTTTGGATTACCCTAAATAGAGACTCAGAGATTTGCATTTAAGAATTTCATTAAGGAAAATGGGCAAGGGTGGCTGGCACTGGCTTGAACTCTGTCACAAGAACCAATTGTGTTCATCTATTCCCAACTCTTCCTCTGTAACATCACTTTGGTAGCTTGAAATCGACCATGCTGGAAGCATTTACACCACAGATATTGGCAAACCCTACACACTCAGGATCTGAAGAGCCATCTGTTAAACCTTTACCAACACACCACTGAGACCACACACAATGGAACTATAGGTAAGATAGAGCGATGAGACAGGATTGGAAAAGGAAGAAGCCTAACTATGATTTCATCATAGAAAGGTCTTAGTCACTCCCATGGGGAGATGGCCCTTTAGAATTATCTCAAAGTGAATCAAGGGAGTCAGGCTTCTATGTCCTTTCTGCCATCAACTAATCATAAGATACAGGTTACCAAGGTAGAAGTGTGGGGGAGGGCATTACCTTGCCAAGACAATTCCATTCAGCCAAAGGCACTTCTTGGGGGAGGAACTCAGCTATGAACTGACAGCAGTCCATCCACTTAAAAATAACTATTCCTAATCCATGTCCATTAAAAAGGTTTTAGAATGGAAAATTGTAAACATAGAGTAAGAAGAAGAGAATAGTATAATGAACCCAAGTGCATCTGTCACCTAGCTTCACACATTATCTGTCCATGGCTAGTCATTTTCATCTATTTCCCCCACTCACAGTTTACTTCAAAGCAAGCCCCAGAAATCTTGTGATTTTATTAGGAAATATTTCACTGAATCTCTCTAAAAGGTAGAGATGTCTTCAACGGTCCCTTGAATTTGTCTCAACCTCATTAAGAGTCTTTAGGATAACAAAGGCATGGACATGAGTCAAATATTAATCTTTTCATTTTTTTTTAATTTTCGGAGAATGTTGTATTTCTTTCCAGGAATTTCTTTCCAGGAATAAGAGAACAAGTGAGACGAATTTACCTGTTTGGAAATGGCTGATTCCTGTGACAGAGCTTAGGACAGAACTTGACATGAGTAAGTCAACTGCTCTGAAAATTATCACAGATACAAATCAATCAAATAGCCAACATCAGGAGGTCAGGGTAGAAGCAGGAGAGATTTTTTTTTTTTCTGCTGTGACATGAAACAGTGCTCCCTTTTACTCAGCCCAGATGCTAATTTTTATATCAAAAATATTGATTGAAGAGGCTAGTGATTTTGGCTCTCACCCAAGTTTATTCAGGATCTTTCTTAATTAGGTTTGGGTCGGCTGCAATGCCCATGGTCAGGGTTAGGTCTGGCTCCAATCACCACATCATGCTCTCTACTTCATCATCAGCCAAGGAATAAGGCAAGGAAATTGCTGCTGCTTTGTTTCACCAGCCCATGAGTATGTTTTTCCCAGATTTTAAGCATGCATGGAGCAAATGTGTAAGGAAGACCAGAAGAAGTGTAATGGCTTCACTGTGATGAGATCAATGTAGCCTACAATTTGACTGTGAGCCCCAGCAGGAACA